GGACTGAGGGAGCTCTGGTGAGGGTTAGTTTGCAGGCTGTGATCACACGCTGGGGCAGGTACCAAGGACCACAGGACTAGGAAGACAGGACCAGCACACAGACAGCAGGGAGCCACACTTTCTTAGGTGTCTGGTTCACTGAGGGAACATTAATTGGAGAATGAGCTGGATAGAATGGGGTTCCTTGTGCAGAGGTTTTCCTACATAGGCTGAGACTTGGATGGGACCCTTAACAGATGAAGTAAAGTTCCCTGGATGGAAGATTCTGGAGCTCAGGAAAAAAGGCAGTGGGAGGGTTTTTTGCCTCTAAACCGATAGCATCCATGGGGACAGAGCAGGTGTGGGCCCATGAGAATGGCTTGTACCTGGATGTCGTGCACCTGCTCCCTGATGTGCCCCCCAGGTGGGAATGGCACCCCCTCCTGGAAGGCTATTGTCTATGTCAGTGTCTGTTTTCTCTTTCCTTCCAGGACCTGAGTGACGTCATAAGCAAGTAAGTACTGATTGCCTTTTTTGTTGTTGTTGTTTTTAAACAACTTAGGTGTCCGTGTGTTTTCTCTCTTTCTCAAATTATTGAAATTTGACAAGGGTAGAAGGAGGATTATTTGAAGAAATCTCTAGTGAGGTGGGCTGAGGATGTCCAGGGAAGGCGGAGGGACTTCTGCACAAATTCCTGTTGTGGAGCTCACGTTAGGGCCGTTGGGGGCTGAGAGACGTGGCGTGGGGGGTGTACGGGGGTACATTCGAGAGGTTTCAGGATCCATGTTTGCTTCCAAAGCCCAGTTTTCACTTCCTCCGGTTCATGCCTGGTTCCCTGCATCCTGTAGGGCACATTTACGCAGGACACTGTCCCCTGCTCTCCGCTGGCGCTCAGGGGGACACTCCCACAGGCCTGGGGGCAGTGATTCCCCTGCAGTGCCTGCCGGATCCGACACGCTGACAGCTTCCAAGTCCCACCCACACCGGACGCAGGAGCTTTGGACAGACAGACTCTAAACTGAGAAGTCGCTGCTGCACAGGTGGTATCCAGGGACGCCTGGGTCTCTGGGCTTGTCTGCATATGTTCTGTGGGCTGCACGCTGGGCCAGCAGGAGGAAATCCCAGCAGGTGGCCAGATTGTGGCTGGGGACACAGGGCACACACATCAGGGACGAGCAATGACATAAGAAATGAGTGTAATAGTTTTGCCCTGAAGGATTTTGTCTGCTATCAGTCAAATTATTCCAGCTTTCTTTTTGATTAGTCTAGGCAGGGCATTTCTTTCTTTCTTTCTTTTATAATCTTCATTTATTTGAGAGAGAGAGAGAGAGAGAGAGGAGAGAGAGTGCATAAGTGGGGGAGGGGCAGAGACAGAGGCAGATACAAAATCCGAAGTAGGCTCCAGGATGTGAGCTGTTGGCACAGAGCCTGTCGGGGCTCAAACCCACAAACTGTGAGATCATGACCTAAGCAGAAGTCCGGTGTTTAACTGACTGAACCACTCAGGTGCCCCTGTTATTTTTTTTAAGTTTGTATTTAAATTTCAGTTAGTTAACATAAAATGTGATAGTAGTTTCAGGAATACAATAGAGTCACTTAGTAAAGTCAGAGGGTACAAAATCAGTGTACAGAAATCAGTTGCATTTCTATACACCCATAACAGAGGAGCAGAACGAGAAATCAAGGAATTGATCCCATTTACAATTGCAAGAAAAACCATAAGATACCTAGGAATAAACCTAATCAAAAAGATGAAAAACTTGTGCTCTGAAAACAGTTTTTTTTAAATTTCTCTTATAAGGAACAATTTTATTTTTGAATAAATCCACTCTATTTTTTATTAGAAAATTTAGTTTTTATATATTCTACTTTTTTCAAAAGCATTTGCATAGGTGGTCAAAATAATGTCCTTAAATTTAATTTCCTTTTTTTTTTTTCAACGTTTATTTATTTTTGGGACAGAGAGAGACAGAGCATGAACGGGGGAGGGGCAGAGAGAGAGGGAGACACAGAATCGGAAACAGGCTCCAGGCTCTGAGCCATCAGCTCAGAGCCTGACACGGGGCTCGAACTCACGGACCGTGAGATCGTGACCTGGCTGAAGTCGGACGCTTAACCGACTGCACCACCCAGGTGCCCCTAATTTCCTTTTTATATCTAAATATTATTTATTTATTTTTTTTTTGAGAGAGAGAGCATGAGAGAGAGAGAGAGAGGGAGAGGGAGGGAGAGAGAGAGAATCCTAAGCAGGCTCCATGCTGTCAGTGCAGATCTTGAAGTGGGGCTTGATCCCACAACCCTGGGATCATGACCTGAGCTGAAATCAAGAGTCAGATGCTCAACCGACTGAGCCACCCAGGTGCTCCTGAATATTTTTCATTTCTTATTTGGTGTATTTGTACTTTTGTCTCCTCTATTACCTGCTTTCCCCCCCTATAGTTAATGATTTTTTTTGTCTATGAGCCCCACTTTTGACATACACCACAATTTCCAGTGTATAGTATTTTATTATTATTGTTTTCTAGATATTTTAAAATTCTGACTTTGGTTTACTCTTTAACATAAGATTTGTTTAAGAAAGAGGATATTTGTTGAAAGGGCGGGGGCGGGGGGGGGGGCTGACTCCATCTTGTTCTGTGTCCTTCACCTTGACCACGCCTCCTCCCCTTGAGCACCGCCCCCCTCACCTGCCTAACAGGATGGGACCCTTCCCCAGCCAATCGGCTGAGGCCGCAGCCATTACCTCACCAACTGCCCCTAGGCCCCAATAAAACCTTTGTCCTTTTGAAACTCGCTCTCTCTCCCCAGTATCTCACTGCTGCGTCGGTGCAGGTAGGGGATTGAGCTCAAGCTAGCTCAAATAAAGGCTCTTTTGCTTTTACATCGGACTCGGCTCCCTGGCGGTATTTGGGGATCACGAATTCTGGGCATAACATTTGTCAGTGGCATTAGTCTTGTTTTTCTTTTGTTTTGTTTGTGTTTCATAGTTTTTAAATCTCATGAACAGATAAGGTTGTTGATCTTTCCACCTTTTGGACTTTGTTGAGGCATTCTGTGTTTACATGTTGTAAATTTTTGTGACAGTTCCAAACACTTGAAAAGAAGATGCATCTTGCATGTGCTTGGAATAGGATTTGATTTATCTCCAGGAGGGTTCCCTTAGTAAATTTGTTATTAAGGTGTTTTGTATCGATACTTACTTTTTGACTTCTCAATATGTCATGGACTAAGAGAGGTCAAAGATTCCTACTAGCAATGACTTCTCACCCATTTTTTAATTATGATAGTTTTTGCTTTTCTATATTTTGATGCTTTTTTTCTCTTGTGGGACGTTTGATGGGAGTTATATCTTAATTGTGGATTATAATATTCTTAGTACATAAAAATACTTTCTGTTGTCTTATTTAATATATTTCCACCTTGAATTCAATCCTTTCTGATAATAAGGTCAAGATCTCGTGTTTCTTTCATTTTGTATTTAGCTTATATATTTCTGCTCAGCTATATATATGTCTTAAATTGAAAGCCTTTTTAAAATTAAAATTTAAAGTTCTGTTTTAATTTTAGCTTATCTGGTGTGTATCCTCAGGTAATTTCTCTAGAAGTTGAAATATTAGTAGCATGTTTCAAAGAACTTCCAAGACAGGAAGCGGCTTTCTCTCTCTTTAACACGATAAACAACTGGTACACTGGTGGGTACAGAGTACCTGGTTATGGCCCTTTCTTCAGAGCTCTGGACATCACACTGTTGGGCTCTGATGTGGGGCTGGCCTCCTGGAGGTGCCACTTTGCTCCCAACCCTGTGGTGCGTGGTTGTTGTGTGTGCATGAGTGTACATGGATGTGGGAGACCCTCCTTTCGTCAGGAGTTCCTGCAGTGCCTCTGTCTTTTCCAGATACCCCTGGAAGAAGCTCTGGATTGAAAAGTGCTGTCAGTGCTGCAATCAAAAGGCAGGTAGAAGACTTTTCAGATAAACTTCTTTCTTTAGAGAAAGGACTCAGAAGATTCAATGATAAGGGAATGGGTGGAGGAAGAAGTTCTGAGCCTAGAAAATCCCTTTTCTTTCTCTGTAGTGCTTATCCTTAGGATTCAGCTCTGGCCTTGGGTCCTCATAGCTCCTTGCTTGTATCCAGGCCATTCACACCAGGCAGGGACACTGGAGAGGGAGAGTCAATCTGTCCAAACCAGGGAGTCTGTCCACATGGCAGTGTAAGGGTGTTACCTGGATTGAGGGAGAGTCAGAGTAGGTCCCAGAGCAGATAAAAAGGTGTTTTGCACCTAGAAATGAAGAAAAAGAATTTCGGGAAGCTATGGATAACACGTGATGCAGTTTTGGAGTGGTGGGGGTCCAGAGCTGATGGCCAAGAAAGAATTCTTGAGATGTCTTTGGTGAAAAAGGTGATTTTATTAAAGCACGGGGACAGGACCTGTGGGCAGAAAGAGCTGTCCCAGGACCATGAGAGAGACTTCTTATATACTTGGGAGTTGGGGGAGGTAAAGTCAGGGTGAAGTTTCCAAAGTGATTTTCATATGTTAAAGAAGACTCATGGGATCTGGGAGACCCAGCTGTCCTCAAGCTAAGATTGTTTCCCTTTAGCAAAGCATCAACATGAAGACAGTAGGGGGTTCCTGGAGGAATGTTATACTCTGCCTGCCTCAAGTATTTGTCAAAGGGCTGCAGGTTCTAAGGAAAGTTACTTTTATCTGCCATTTCCCACATTAACATGGATGCATGGATAGCCCTCAGGGACATTATGCTGAGTGAAATAAGATGGTTACAAAATGCCAAGTCATGTATGATTCTACTTCTAGGAGTTCCCTAAAGTGATCAAATCCTTAAGAATGGAGAGTAGGGTGGCTGCCAGGGGTCAAGAGGAGGGAGAATGAAGGTTGTGGTTTTATGGGTATAGAGTTTTGGTTTTGCAGGATGAAAACATTCTGAAAACTGGTTGCACAACAATGTAACTACACTTAGCCCTGCTGAACCATGCACCTAAAATGCTAAAGATGGTAAATTTTATGTTACTTTATCATATTAAAAAATAAAACAGTAAAAAGAATACTGGGGGAATTCATCTCCAAGAGGTCTCTTAGCAAGTGGGAAGAAGTAGTGTGATTTAGGCCGAGAAGTTTAAGAGCACAGAGAACATGCTTTAAGACTGCGTGATGAAGCAGCAGGTGTGAGCAGCAGAGGTACGTGCATGAGCCATGGGGTCTGGACAACTCCGTGTGTCTCCTGCACCGACTTCTCTATGTCGCTTGGGCTTCATTGTGCCTGGCCAGCTTTTACAGTAGTGTCAGCCGGCAGTAAGAGAACTGGACCTAGAAGATGTGATGTCAGGATTGCTTACTATCTTTTTCTTCTTTCACTCTAGGAAAATTGAGGAGGGATCTGGAGTATAAGACCAGTGAGTATCTGGAGGGGATAATGACTGATGCTCACCCCAGAGTAAACTCTCCTTCTCCAAATTACAGTTTTCCTGTAAAGCTTCCCTTATGGATCAGCTCTTTATTTTTTTTAAACGTTTATTTATTATTAAGAGACAGAGATAGAGCATGTGCATGGGAAGGGCAGAGAGAGGGAGATGCAGAATCCAAAGCAGGCTTCAGGCTCTGAGCTGTCAGCACAGAGCCTGATGCGGGGTTTGAACTCACAAACTGCAAGATCATGACCTGAGCTGAAGTCGAGTGCTTAACAGACGGAGCCACCCAGGCGCCCCTGGATCAGCTCTTTAAACAGGAATGTCTTTGTGGTAGCTAATGTACCTGAATTCTTTGTCCTGAGGTCTCAGAGTTCATCCTTCCCCAGCGTTTCTCAGCCATAAAGATCCCAGCCCCTTCCTTCTTTTCCTCCCTGGAATTCTCTCCCTGGCTTCTCCCCACCCTCTGGAAGGTATGAGCACGAAGTCTAAGATTTCTGTCCTGGTCCCTGAAGGGAGTCTCCTACCCTTGTCAGAAAGGCCTCAGAACCCACAGGGAAAATCTCCTTTGATATCTTATGATGCCATAACTTTATCCCCGTGTCCCCACAGCGAGGATCGTCCTGAATTCCCAGCCAGCCAATGGCTGCCTCTCAGTGTCTCCCAATGAGAAAAGCCTGATATTCACTGGTTTGTGGATGAACAAATACCAACATGGTTGGAGATTTGTCCCCGAGCCTGGAGTGCTGGTCAGTAGGGGCTTCACGTGGGGCAAAGTGTACTGGGAGGTGAGGGTGGACAGGATATGGTGGGGGGCAGAGGAGGAAGATGCAGTGTGTTACTGGGGTGGAGCCAGAGACATGTTTGGCACTAGCTACCTGGGTGGGTTAGTGGGCACCCCTGGTGGTGACAGTCCCACCGGGTACAGAAATGAGAATGAAAATGGAATATGGCTGAAATTCTGCCTGGTGGGGATGGCCAGAGAGTCGGTGGTGAGGAGAGGGTGTCTTGCCTTCACCCCTGAGGAGGGGTTCTGGACCTGCAGCTCTCCTCAGCTGGGGTGTATGTAGGTACCAGTCTCGAGCCTTTCCAGGTCCTGTCATGTTGTCCAAGGCAGACTGGAGTTGCTCTGGATTATCATGGTGGGAAGGTGACCTTTACCAATGCCAGGACTCAGGAGTTAGTCTACAAGTTCTTCTCTTCCTTCACGGGGAGAGTTTTCCCTTTCCTGTGGCTTGACTGTATGAGAGGCAGACTCACGCTGAGGCTCTAAGACAAGGTCTCTTTTGGCCTGTATTCCTCTGTGTCATTCCCAACTTCCCAGTCAGCTAGACTGTCTGTCTGGGCTTCCAAACACCCTTAGATCATGGGACCAGCACGGTGGAGGCAGGAGTCCCTGATCCTTTCCACTTGGTCTCTAAAATAGGGATGACACTCATCTGCCCTCTCTGCAGAGTTAGGGTTGGAATGTCTTCAAAGCACTTATTAAAATATGTGTTCTTGTTAATGTTTTTCTTCTGTTGCCTTTGATTTGGTCCTTCATCCGCCACTGAGATAAAGGTATGAGAACGAGTGTGAGTGTCCTAGGGTTGCATTCTCTGCCCCTATGAATAGTGGTCACAACATCCCTATCAGTTCTAAATCATAAATATTTTGATGAAATTCATGCCTGATTGACAGTTGATGTATTCTGAGGTTTGAAATATCTGGGGTCAGTATGGGCTCATTTACTTCTATGTTCTTAACCATTTTCTCAACAGAAAGTGGGGAGGGGAAACCCTGAGGTTCAGGAAGGTATGAGTTTTTGGAAGCAAGTCTTAGTTGGATTTTGAGATTGTAGAAACAGATATTAAGGTAAAATTATTAGTCTTAGCTATAAGCAGAAAACAAATCTGGCTGTTTTTAGAGGAAGGGAAATCTATTAAACGATATGGGGGGGGGGTGCCAAGAGGGAAGGAGACCCTGTCTACTGGCTTTCACATTCTGGAGGCAGTACCGTGTTACCAGGAAGAGCCTGGGTAAGAGACAATATGGTAGCTGCAGCCAGAGGGAGTAAGGCAGAGGGGTCATGAGAGCCTGAGGTGATTGTCATGTTGTCAGGATGTGAATGGGATGCACAGTGCTTTAGTGCAAGCTGGCAGATAGTGGGTAGGATACAGGGAGAGCAGTGGAGGAAAAAGAAGCAATGAATATGGAGCTGGAGCTGGAGACGTGTTTAGGAGTGGCTATCTTAGTGGATTCACAGGCATTACTGATGAGTATACAGAAATGAGAATGAGGAGTTGAGGAAGAAATGGTCTCAGGGAATTAGTGGGTACTTTTTCATGTAATTAACTCCTACACCATAATCTGGCAGAAGTGCACCAGATTGCCAGGTATAGAGTACCTGCCTTTGCCCCAGCAACAAGGGATATTGGGCAAGCATTTTCAGCTTCTGCAGTAGGAGGTGGTCTCATTGGGACTCATGGAGGTTAGCATTCTCAAGACATGGGAGCAGAGGCTGGTTGCCTAAGTGACAACTTAAACTTCCAGGTTTGGGAGATGTGAGGAAATCTGCTATGATAGTTCAGCTGTGTAAGAACATTGTGTTGAAAAATATGACCAAACAACACAAGATTCCTATATTCTGCATCTGTGTCTACAAGCAGAATTCGGTATTCTGCATCTGTATCCGTATGTACAAGCAGATGCAGACAGACTACCAACAGTGTACACGGAAGTCCTTCATATGGAAGAGACAAACCAATTTCTTCTGTATGAGGAGTGGCCAAGGGTTATAACCAGTATACTCTATCCTGTGTTCCTAATTTGTGTTTAACAATGTACAGTATCCAAGAGAACAGATTTTATGAGTTAAGGATATAGAGAATGTTCCATTGGTTAGAAATAAATGCAAACCAAAATATGAGTAAGTAATTACTAAAGAACAAGTTCAGAAAGTTAGCAAGACAGTGGAGAAACTGTTCCTATTCTTTTTTTCTTATTTTATCTTATTAAAATTAAAGTATACTTTAATATACAGTTTTATATTAGGTTTAGGTATACAAGATAATGATTCAACAATTCTATCCATTTCTCAGTGCTCATCATAAGTGCAGTCCCTGCCCATCACCACACAATATTATCGACTATATCCCCTATACTGCACTTTTCATTGCCATGACTTATTAATTTTATAACTGGAACTTTGCATCTCTTAATCCTCTTTATCTATACCCTCCTCCTCCCCCTCCCGTCTGGCAACCACCAGTTTGTTCAATATATTTAAGAGTCTGGGCTTTTTTTTTTTGTCCCTTTTTTTGTTTGTTCATTTGTTTTGTTCCTTAAATTCGACATAGGAGTGAAATCATATGGTATTTGTCTTTCTCTGATTTATTTCACTTAACACTAAATCCTCTATGTCCATCCACATTGTTGCAAATAGCAAGATTTCATTCTTATATATATATATATATATATATATATACCATTCTTCTTTATCCATCCATCAGTCAATGGACATCTGGGCTTTTTCCATAGTTTGGCTATTGTTGATAGTACTGCTATAAACATAGGGGTGCATGTATCTTTTCAAATTAGTGTTTCTGTTTTTTATGGGAAAATACCTTGTAGTGGAATTACTGGATCATAGGGTAGTTCTATTTTTAACTTTTTGAGGAACCTCCCTACTGTTTTCCAGAGTGGCCGCACCAGTTTGCATTCCCACCAACAGTGTGTGAGTGTCCCTTTTTCTCTACATCCTCACCAACACCTGTTGTTTCTGTGTTTTTGATTTTTGCCATTCTGAAAGATACATAGTGATATCCCATTGTGGTTTTAATTTGCATTTCCCAGATGATCAGTAACGTTGAGCATCTTTTTATGTGTCTGTTGGCCATTTGTATGTCTTCTTTGGAAAATGTCCATTCAGGTCCTTTGCCCACTTTAATTGGATTATTTGGGTTTCGTGTGTGTGTGTGTGTGTGTGTGTGTGTGTGTGTGTGTGTGTGTGAGGAGTGGTGTAAATTCTTAACATATTTCAGATATTAACCTCTCATTGGACACATCATTTGCAAATATCTCCTCCCATTCCGTTGGTTGCCTTTTTGTTTTGTTGACTGTTTCCTTCGCTGTGCGGAAGCTTTTATTTTGATGAGATCCCAGTAGTTTATTTTGCTTTTGTTTCCCTTGCTTCCGGAGACATGTCTAGAAAAACATTGTTATGGCCTATGTCAGAAAAATTACTGCTTCTTCTAGGAATTGTATGGTTTCAGGTCTCATATTTGGGTCTTTAACCCATTTGTGGTTTATTTTTGTGTATGGTGTGAGACAGTGGTCCAGTTTCATTTTTTTGCACGTAACTTTTCATGTCTAGTTTTCCCAACACCATTTGTTGAAGAGACCTTTTTCCACAGTATATCCTTGCCTACTTTTGTCATAGATTAATTGGCCAGGAAAGTGTGGGTTTATTTCTGGAATCCCTATTTTGTTCCATTGATCTATATGTCTATTTTTGTGCTCAAACTGCTTCTCTTTAGAATAATTTTTAAATTCAAAGGGTAATGTTAATGAGATATTTATTAGACAGATAAATAGAAAACAAACACTAGCAGGAAAAATGAAGCCTAGTCCCCTGAGGGACTCCCAGCATGGTCTTCTGCAGATGCACTGCAGCTCCCCCAAAACCCATGGGCTGGGTGGAAAGCAGGGCCATCACAGGTACCCCACTCAATTATAGTTACTGTGCAACCTGGCTGCTAGGGAAACCTTTGTAGCCAGAGCCCCAGCTTAGACTGGCCTCTTTGGGCTGGGCCACTGCTGTGGGGGCAGTATTCACAGTTGACCACTTCTCTTTGTCCCCCCCCCTAAAAAAAACTGAGTAGGAGTAGGCACTGTCAGGCTATTGGCCTGCACATGGAGGGGCCCCAGCCCTGGGAGACAACACTGGGAATGACAGGTGGAACCACAGTGCCATGGGGACTGCGAGGAAACAGGAGTGTCTACGACTCAATGGGGAGAATTGTGGTACCTACCTGTGTGTGTCAAGTGAATTTTCATTCAAAACAGCACTTCCCAACCTCTTCCTTCTTTTCCATAAAATAAAATTCCTCTCCTTTGTTTGTTGGATTTGCTAACGGTTTCATCATAGCTTGCTTGTCCTGAGTTGCCGTTCTCTGTTATTCCCAAATAAACCCATTTTTTGCTGGTAAAACAACTAACTTTTATTTTTAAGGTTAGCATTATTCTGTTAAAGCAGGGTTTTGTTTGTTTGTTTTGATTTTTGGTTGAAAAAATGTTACAAGAGCTGTAAGTAAAATAACTCCTATCCTTCAGTGTCTTCCTGGAAAATTCATTTTCATTCAGAATACCAAGAAGTGAATCCAGCCCACATCTCCTCCTCTTCCTGACCCATGTCCCATGCAGGTCTGCTTCACACAAAGTTGTACCTGAAATCAGGGTGATGGCAGGTGAAACGTAAGAATGTATTCATTGCAGTTGGTTCAAAGTGGGGCTTTGCGGTCCTTCCAAAGGATGCACAGTGACGCCGGCCTGTCTGGGGGCCCGCATGCCACTGCAAGCTCCAGCCCCCCTGAACCCCTGGCGGAGAGTCATAGCTGGTCCCGTCCAGCACCGTGACACCTGCAGGCACCGTGACACTCTGCAGAGGTGATCCCTGCCTACATCTTCCTGCCCCGGAGAGACTGCCTATTCTAAACCAGAGGTGCACCTGTGACCACCTGGGACCCAGCCGGCTCAAGGCTGCTTTGTT